ACTTGTGTTTTTGTAATAAAATTTTCTCTCCTAGGTCTCTCTTTTATAGCATTGTAACTCTGTATAAATAAATAAGGTGGTGTCAACATCATTGCTGAATGTGAATTTCACAGAAAGGATTTGATATTTTGCTAAATAAGAGGAACTTTGTGGAACTGAGATTCTGTTAGATACTGAGAAGTAGTTCTCTTTAGTAGAAACAATGCCTTGTGAGGGAAGTAGAATGAGAGAAAAATGTCTTGAGGACATCAATGGCCTATTAAAAAGTGAATCAAAGGAATTAAGTGACTCTATTTTTAAAGTAAATTTCTACCTGAACAATGAAAACAGTAAAGAGGTTTATCATACTCCACAGGAGAAAGAAAAGTAAGTATTAATGTTAAATATTTATACCATTTCTAGGATCTTAATAGCTGTCAATTGGCATTGTATACATAAAAAGTGATCATAATCTAAAAAAGTTGGCATATACTAACCGAAAAACTTATCTTCAGTAGTAAGCAGAGATGCTATAAATGTCCTTAGGAGTTGGGTACAAACAGAAAGATTTGGGGAAAAAAGTAGTACCCTTATTATTTCCTTCACAATTAGCGTTCTCCTAAAACATACATAGTGCTCTGGTAATTACTGGGTAGCACAAAGAAATGCTTGCGAATATAAAATGTGAAAAGCAAATGAGCTTATGTGCTGGAAATTTAAATGAAATTAATCAAAGGACATCGTTTTGAAATGAAAATAACACTTTGAAATAAATCGAGTTCTAATTCAAAGCAGAATGTTTGGAGGCTTTCTTTCAGTTTCACATCGGTCAGCAAGGAGCAGACAGTAGTGAACACGAAGGCAACAGTACTCACGGGAACAGCACCATCGATTGTTTTAGAAAGATACTCACAGCTCCCGTCTGGCAATCACAGGCACACATATCTGAGAGATACTACGCATGGAAATGTGGATGCAGCTCAAACTTTAAATCCTCAAGGTGTGTCTGCAGGAGGCCGGGGTCATCAACCCCAGTCCATTCTCAAGTAAACTGCCATCACAGTCATAGATACCTAGTGGCTTGTGGAAATTTGCACAACCAGTAAAAATGTCCCAACAAACACAAAGCAGACACTGAATCACACTTGGCAAGCTATAGGACTGAACTGAATATTTTTTGGTATATATGCATAATCAGTATACATTTGCAGTCAGAAAATGATGTATTTTTTCTAAAAGTTAACTTATCTAAAAAGTTTTGCCACAAGCTTCATGTGAATTTTCCAGTCCAGGCATTCCAGCATGACCTTTTGCCCTTCCAATCTGCAGGAACGCTATCAATCTCCAAGCCACTGTTCCTGCATCTGAAAACCATGGCACCAGTGTGCCGACTGCTGACTTTAAAGAAACAAGAACGAAGGATCAGACGGACTTAGGAGGCACTGATGCCTGCTTCTCGTCACTGAAGTCTTCTTACAGATGTCACTAAAACACTGCCAGAAGCAGCAAATTTACCTCACTCAGTAGATGAAGCTTTCCTTCTACTTCCTAACCAATGGATATTTTTAAAAAACAGATCCTCTTTATATTGAGAGAAACTCATTTGTATTTGGAAATATTCTTGGCAGCGCCAGCTCCACGTGGCACAGGGACCAGGCTGGAGGTGTCCTCCTAGATATTCCACCAGGGAGTGTCGGAGGGAGAACTTGTAGGAGTCAAAACTAGGTAAAATATGGAGTAGAGGAGTCCAGGAATACTCTATGCAGGGAGGGGACCCTCCCACTTCCTCCACCCTCTGCCTGGAATGCTACCTTGATGACCGGAGGTCAGCAGCCATACTGGACCATGAATATGGGGGCCACACAGAACAGGGAGGGCAAACAGAAAGCAAAAAAGCTTTAAGCCTTCATGGAGTGGCTGTAAGACATACAGATTGCCAGCTGATGAGCTTTCTTCTTTTGTGAGGGAGAAAACACCTGTTTTTCCCCAAAATTATTGCTTTTGGGGACTACTCTGTTACATGAAGTCAAATGCAATTCTGACACTTAGCAAAAGGAATGAAAAGAGGGTTGGAAACTTACTCTCATGTTTGAGTATGGCTCCCGTGCCTCAGACAGTCTTTGCTCAGTTCACTGAGTCACTGCATGAGAGCCACTATATGCTGATATTCCCCTGAAGTGCAGAGCTCAGAAATTAAGGACTCCAGACATGCTTGCATGCACATTGAGTGGACGGTAGTGCCCGGCAGGGGCAGGTAACCAGATTCAGGACCTTGCTTGCAACATTAAACTACACTGAGCCCAATTCTCTCCAGCTCCCGGCCTCCCCACCACACTCGCCTGGTGAGCTGCTCTGCTGGTAATCTAATGGCTGCTTTCCATTTACACGGCTGCGTCGCCTCCTGTTGAATAACATGTTTTTATTTATCATGGAGGATGTTTCCTTTCTTGAATTAAAAAATTAACATTCTCCATTGAGCTACACAGAAAATGCATGAAGAGTGGACTAGACCTGCAGCCTGTCAAGGACACAGCAGAGTCACGTAGGTGTCAAAAAACGACACACAAACAAAGCAGGCCTCTGGAGCGCTCATCACCGTTGGACCTAGTATACATCGTCTCATTATTTGTGTATAGTCATATCCTCTTATGAATTGGGCCTTGCTTTATGCCGTCCCTTCATCTGCAGGCTGAGAATGGTGCCTGGCACTCAGGTGACACCCAAGAATCATGTTTTATTACACAAACTGAATACAATCATTAATGGGTAAATGAATGAATACGTGTCTCTTTCTTTCCTAGCAGAAATAGAAATGTGTGATATCTACTCAGTCCTCAGATCTATGAAGTCTCAGATAATTAAAAAATGAGTTTTTTTCCGGTATGACTAATATGACCAGATATCGCCACGTCGTAGTCCCTTTCCCAAGAGTTTACGAACCAGGAAATAAAATCAACAATCACTCCCTTGCATTTCAACACAGGACACACCCTGCTGACTTCATTCCTTCTTTGAAACCGTTTCTTCCTCAGCCATGGGATTGTTGCACCTGTGCTGTCTATGAATATGACCCTGCACTAAAGTGTGTGTCTCTGTGTCAAGGTGGTCCACACGCTCTGGCTACAGCTTGTAAGTTACTCTCTAAGTGTTACTTCACTTGGTGAAATGATCAACGCCATGTTGTAAAATCAGGTGTTATTTTTACATTCATTTTAGAATAAAATTTATAAAACACTTGACCTAAGAGAGCCACAGTCATTTGTCAAGTTTACAGTTGCTGACGGATGAGGAAGGCAGGAGTCAGAACTGTGAACGTCATGCCCCTCCCATGAGGACACACTTTTAGAGTCAGCTCTGTGCCCTTGCCGTCGCTCTGACAGGGCTGGTCTGGAGGAGCGGGCTTACATTCACATGGCGGCTTCTGGGCTCGGAATGCAGAGACTTACACACGCGGAGATCCTGGGGGTGTGCAGGACGCTGGGGTGTCCCCATCCACGTCCTGTCTTGCTTCTGAGAGAGGCGAAGGGGTCCAGTGACTCAAGAGTCCTGCATGGGGGTAAAACTGCTCAGCAGAGTGCAGGGCCTGGGAGGAGGCCAGAGAGCGTTGTGGGCACACACAGGATGCCTGTGCGTTTTCAACAGTGGTGACAGCCATGTGCTCCTGACCACAAGAGGAAATTATATCGGGGACAGCAGCAGCTGTCACAAAGCCATGTGGGGCAACATGGCAGCCTTCTGCAGGCGTGTGGCTGTGTTCCTAAGGCCCCATATCCCTGATGGCTAGAGCTCACTGCCTGCCTCGAGATTCCCACTCCGGTTCTCAGACTTCACACAATACACGGCATAGGGCCACATCTCTAATTCAATACATACACACGTACCAAGTACAGCACAACCCATTTCACTGTTTCACTTTATTGCCCTTGCAGATAACATGGATTATTTTAGGAATTGAAGGTTTGATCATGGAACAAGTCTATTGCAACCATTTTTCCAACAGAAGGTGCTCACTTCGTGCCAGTGTGTCACATTTTAGTAACTCTTACAGTTTTTTTAAAACTTTTTCATTATTATACTTTTTATAATACAATATTATTGCTATTGTTATGGATGAGAGGTTTCTATGTTGCCCAGCTGACCCCGAACGCCTGGCCTCACCTCCTTACGTGCAGGACAACAGGCCTGAGCCACCGCGGCTCCCAATAATATTATATTATAGATCTGTGATCTATGATGAGTGATCTTTGATGTTACTATTGTAATTGTTTTGGAGGCACCACAAACTACACCCACAGAAGACAGTGATCTTCATGAAAGTGTTGTGTGTGCCCACTTCTCCACCCATGGGCAGTTCCCCGGTCTTTCTCCTCCTCCTCAGGCCTTCCTATTTTCTGAGATGCAAGAATATTACGACTAGGCAAATTAGGAACTGATAATGAATTCTAAGTGTCTGAGTAAAAGAAGAGTTGCATATCTCTCACTTTAAATCAAAATCTTTTGTTAGGGCTCCTGCACCTGGTGACTTTCAGTAGCAGCCAATGGCCATTGAGCATTCCAAAAATCATAAGGCCCTTAAGAATGATGCTAAATCTACTCTGCCTGTTTGCTGTAAATGGAGCAACAACCCCTGGATGACAGCGCCTCTGTTTACAGCATGGCTTATGGGATATTTTAAATCCATTGTTGAAGCCCGCTGCTCAGGAAAATAAAAAGTTTCTTTTAAAAAATATTACTGCTCATCGAAAGCACATTTGGCCACCCAAGAGCTTAACACTGTCTTCTTGTCTGCTAATGCAATATCCATTCTTTTGTTTATTGATCAAGGATTAAGGAGTAATTTCAACTTTTAAGTCTAATTATTTCAGAAATATATTTTATAAAGCAATAGCTGCTATAGACAGTGATTCCTCTGATGGGTCCGAGCAAAGTAAATTGAAAACCTATTGGAAAGGATTCACCATTCTAGATGAGAAATTAAGAAAATTCTGATTCATGGAGGAAGAACAAAATTTCAGCATTAACAGGCATTTGAAAGAAGTTGATTACAACCCTCCTGGGTGACTCTGAGGGGTTCAGGACTTCAGTGGAGGAAGTAACTGCAGATGTGGTGGAATCAGAAGCGGGGCCTGAGGATGTAACTAGATCGCTGCTCTCTCGTGAGAAAACTTGAATGCTTCTGATGTATGAGCAAAGTAACTGACTTCTTGATAGGAAACCTTCTCCTGGTGAAGACACTGTGCACGTTGTTGAAATGACAGCAAAGAATTTTGGATATTCCATAAACCTAGTTCATAAAGCAACCCCAGGCCGTGAGAGGCTTCACTCCAATTTCGAAAGAGCCTGTACTGTGGGTGGAATGCTACCAAGCACCATCTCATGCTGCAGAGAAATCGTTCATGACAGGAAGAGTCCATTGAGCCAGAAAACTTTACTGTTGTCTTGTTTTAAGAAATTGTCGCAGTGACTTCAACCTTCAGCAGACTTCTCTCAATCAGCCAGCAGCCGTCAGCATTGAGGCAAGACCCTTCATAAAAAAAAAAAAAAAAAAAAATTATGACTCACTGAAGTTTCAGAGGTTTGTTAACATTTTTCAGCAATAAAGTATTTTTAAGTTAAGGCATGCACATTTTTTTTGTCATAACGCTATTGCAAACTTAGACCACAGTATAGTGTAATAAATAACTTTTATATGTACTTGGAAATCAAGAAAAAATGTGTCATTAACTTCTTTGAAATATTTGCTTTATTACGATAGCCCAGAAACAAACCTTCAGCACCTCCAAGGTATGCCTGCAAGCAAATCATTTCTTAAGGCTTTTTCTACATAGAAGTGAAATCAGTAAGCAAAGCAGTTAATCAGTTTATTAAAGCAAAAAATGAGCTCAAACTCACCAGAGTTTTGCGTCAAAGGCATATTTTTTAAGCTTGATTATGCAGATAATTACCCCATTTCTGTACTCTGCTGTGTGAACACAGATATTTACTTAAATTGACATGCTTTTTGTTCATAGACCAGACAAGTGAACATCACACTCACACACACATTATTGCTTCTACCAGAATAAAATTCCGTGTGTTGCCATCGCCTTAGGAACACCGAGTTTGAGATATCAGCACCATCTGGAACAAATGGCTTAACTTCCAGCTGTATTCAATTAGCCCTTCGTCTTGCCTAAGCGGAAAAGCTGAAGGTATAAGCAAGCGCTTCCCTTGTATGGAGTGTGGGATAGACTTGGAGGTTTAATCTATACATTTCTCATTTTTTCACAGCAGGATTGCTTGAATGTCTGGGCCAGCTATGGCCATCTCTCTCGGAAGGGATTACGTTTCTGGGGGCATCAGAATGCCTGCAACGCTTTGATCTTGGTGATTCTGTGGCATGATTGTAACCATGAATCATGCTGCGTGGATTACCATAAAAGGGATCATGGTGGAATGGTGGACTGTGGGGAAGGGAACATTGATTCTGATGCTCGTAACTCTCTTCCACGTTTTGAAACAGAGATGATGCTCCTTATCTTGGACACCAACACAGCACAGCATCGCAGTCCGGCGCGTGGGCTCTGCATCTGGGGTGCTCGGTGGAAATCCGCCTTCCGCAGCTCACTAGCTCTGTAACTGTGGGATCGCCTTTTCTCTTCTTGGTACTGTATTTGCCTGCTCTGTGAAATGAAAACAGCATTAACATCTGTTTCATGGGGATGCTTTGAGGGTTAAAAAGGTTGTTTAATGTAAAACATTTGGAACAGTGACTGGTTAAAAAAATAAACATTTTGTTGATACTAGTTGTTATTAGAAAAGCTACTTTTTTGTTGTCCTTTCACATTATGCTATTCTGGAATGAGTTAGTCTGCACAGACTCTCAATACACAGCCCTAAAGAAAGCAAGGGAGTGGGATATCAAACTTTTTGAACATATGCATCTAGTTGTAACGTTTTTTTCTTATTTAAGTGTCACAACTTTCTGTGATATAGGTATTTTTACTCTTATTTACACATGGAACAGCTAAGAACTATACAACTTCAGTAGAATGCTTTATATACTATTATTGTTAAGCACTATATCAAAATTATATTAAGAGAAATATAATTCTAAATTCCAGAGGAGATAAGCTTGCCAATTCCAGTGTGTGCTTCTCAAGATTAAATTATGAGAGTATTATCCATTACCTGTTTTACAATATGTACAAATTATAGTTGGACACATTTCTAATAAAATTAATTAAATGAAATAAATAAAAAGTCAATTAAGCAATTAAAAATAGTTGACTTGTGACTCTGTTGATGGCATGATCAGGCCATTTTAAAAACATAATTATTTTCTATCTTTAAAAAAGAGGTTACATTTCAGGTCAGCACATGGGTAATATGGTTGAGCACAAAAATCACTCTTTACTACAGATCAACGAGACAGAAAATTAACAAGGATATCCAGGACTGGAACTCAGACCCGGAACAAGCAAACTTAATAAACATTTACAGCACTCTCCGCCTCAAATCTGCAAAACATACATTCTTCTCAGTACCACATCACACCTACTCTAAAAGTGACTACATAATCGGAAGTAAATCACTCCTCAGTAACTGCATAGCATTTCACAGGTTTAAATGAAATATTGGTTAGCTGCTTGTTTGCTATTTTCCTCCCTTATTCCTTCCTGTCTCCATTGTTAAGCACAATTATTGGCATAAAAGAGGTTTTCAATACCCATTTTTAGACTGCTTTCTAGCCTGGGCAGTAGAGCAAGACTCCTATTCTCTCTCCCTCTTTCTCTTCCTCTTTCTTTCTTTCATTCTTTTTTTTCTTTCTTTCTCTTTTTCTTTCTTTTTTTCCCAAAAAAAAAAAAGAAAAAGAACTAACTCAAGATGGATTAAAGAAAAAAAAAAAAAAAAAAAAACCAGTCTTTACAAAACCATGAATAACCCTGCAACATAGTCAATATACCACATTTAGATGATTGCACTCTGTGGATAATTCTTTTGGAACATCAAAGTTTGAACTGGAGAGGGAATGAGGTAATTTTACATGTGGATAATTGGACATTTAAGCCATTCTGCCTTTAGGATAACAATAAGATTTTGAGTGATGGCTTAGGGGTGGTTGTGAGTTTCAAGTGTCTCTCCCTGCCAGCAGGATATGTATTATTCTAATATTGTCTGTATCATTTTCATGCAAGGTTACAGAATTTTTAGTTACAGAAAACATTAAAAGTGATTATATAATAACACTTTGCATGATAGTATTACATTCTACATGCTGGGTATATATTAAATCCTTATATGATAGGACTCAATTTTTTTTCCCGTATCTCATGCCTCTTTGAGTTCATTCATCCATTTCTTGAACATAAATTTAATAATTTCGAGATAATTCTGCTAACTGTGTCTCATTGTTGCTTGGTATTTATTTAACAGTTGCACTTATGTACTGAAATCTGTGTCTACCTGGCATGCAATGAGTGGCCTGAGATTTTACAGCTACTGCATTCTCGGTGCTTGGTTCCTGTTGCTGTGTCATGCTCTGATAACCTTCATGATTTGGGTTTAGGGGTCTTTCTTCCATCTGTCATGGCTGTTTTGGCAATTTCACGTTTTATCTGCCAGCATTCACCGTGTGTACCGGCTCAGCCTCTGCAGCACAGGTGGTTGATTGAAGCAGCATTGAGCTGAGGGCTCTGCTGTTTCAAGGGTGTGTGGAGATATTGAAGGACTGCATCCAAATGCAGACACCAAGGTTGTATGCCAAAGGAAGTCTGGCTGAAGACGTTTTGAAACCCTAAAAGCAGGCTTTTCAAAACTCTGATGCTTATAAATAAATAGAGTTCACACATCATGTCTACATGTTCTAAGGTATGCTTAGAAAGATTAAATCTTTTCTAAGGTATGCTTAAAAAAGATTAAAACTTTCTTGTAATATGGAGACCCTAATCATTTTTTTTGAAAAAGTCATTTTAAAATAATGAAGATTCTGTTTTATATGTGGAATCAGCATGAACTTATTGAATATGTCTCAGCTGCCAGGTACTGAGCTAATTACCAAGGAGCATAGGTTAACTAGGAATGGTGCATTTCTTCAAATCAGCCTTACTTAGCAGGAGGGCACTGGGGGCAACCTAACCACAAAAAATCAAAATACTGTGAAAAAAACAAATGCAAATAAAAGATCTATGGCCAGTCAAATCAGGGTGGGTACGTTCATGGTTTCCTCAACTTCTTCATTTGTCCTCATTCCCTGACGTTAGAATACCATGAACACTGCATCCAAGAGAGCATGCTTATTTTATTCAAGTCCAAGAAGCAGAATACATTCAAACACTAATCTGAAGTCAATAGTTTTGATGACATAAGGAGTATAATTGTGCTTCCTTTGTGAAACAGTTTCCCAGGTTTTTTGGCATATGTAAATTGACGATTTTTAGTAATATTCGTGTTTTTACTTGCATGTATGTGAACTCCATGTTGAGTAAAACTCAAGAGCTAGTCTGCGTGGATTTTGCTCTCCTGTCTGCAGAAAATATGTGTACTACAGCTTTGTGAAAAATAAATTCTGTAAGACTAACACATTTTTCCTCCATAGTACTTTTCTAAGTCTCATAAACGAAACAAAGAGGAGTGATGAGGCTTGCATTTGGCTTTACAGTGTAAAACAATGTGTTAGTGAGTGGGCAGAGACACGTACTGAAGTGAAAATGCTTTAGAAACACTGTTTGGTTTGGGGAACGCTAGTGATACTGAGGAACTTTGAAGAGAGGCCAGAGGGGAAAAGGCTGTTTAGAACAACAAGGAAACAGGAGAAAAGGATGCCTCCATTGGAAGCAGCTGGTAGAGGATTCAACTATGAAAAAGAATTATGCAGATGATACAAAAGTTGTCTTTTGCTTTTTATTGAAAACTACACAAGCTCACATTTCATTTTCAAGAAAATACAATGATTGGTGTAATAATGCATCTGAACGATCTTGTTTTTTAGTTCAAAGCATTCTAACAATTTTTTTTTCACAAGCAAATGTAAAAAATAGGTAACCCTCTTTCTGTTTTAGTTAGAGTCTGTATCTGTTTGAAAGAAGATGGATAAATATTCTTTCTTATTGACTTCCTGTCACATGACTGGTCCAATGTGCCGGCTGGAGATTGAGGATGTTTATGACCAACTTCTTAGATTCTCTGATAAGAAAAATTCTCATTGGTGATTCATATTTCCTACAGAGCTTATGAAATGAAGTCTATTTAAAGGCATCTACACACAGTATCAATTCTTAACAAGCAGGATGAAGGCATGGGATTGGAGATTATTATGTATTAAAACTTATGAAACATTATGTTCAAACCTCACATAAGTTTATGTATTGTGGCATTTTATTGACTGTAGAAAGCCTGATGATGTTTTTATTTTCTCCATCATTCAACTGTGTTTTAAAAAGCTAAATTTTCATTAGTTTCATGTCAAAACATGATAATGACTTTCTCTATACCACACAGCTTTAAAACTTATTATAAAGATATCACACAATGCAGTGGCTACATTAAACTTGAATAAATTTACACAAAGTTTAGTGTATGATTTAAATAGTTGACAGTCAAGAAAAGGTCAGAGCAATTAGAGGCAGGATTTGCCACTAGAACCAGGAGCAAGAGCTGGGACTTTTTCCACAGTCTCATGATTTAGTGAATGAATTCTAACAGAAGTCACATGGCTTTATTTCATGGCCAGACCACCAGGCTATTACAGGGAGGCCCAGAAGACCAGACAGAGAAGACTGTTTCCTTACAAGTAAAATTTAGAAATTTAAAATTGGTTTTCTAACAAACGAGATATTTTTATCTCACACTAAGAAAATTAAGAAATTCATCAATCATGTCATTCTTACCCTCAAAACAAGGCCTGCTTTGACTGTAATATATGTTTTCTAGAAGTAATAACATAAACTTTTAAATTAATTTTAAATGTTGATATGAAAATAGATAAAGTAGAAACATGGACATGCTTTACCCAATCTACTAGCATTGTAATCATACTAGAAGCTCATTTTAAAAGATAATGAAAACTTAATATAAAAATGTAAACAATCATTATAGTTTAAACACCTAATACTAGTATGTTTGTATAAAATTTCTGCTTATTGGTGTTTTTTGATAGTAGCCTTTTTAACAACTGAGAATTTATACTTTCTACATTAGTTTCTGTCAATGTAGAAATAAAAGACCTCCTTGTCTAAAGAGAATATGTAGACTAATATAAAAATACTAAGATTAAAATTTAGTTCTTCACAACATCTCTTCTCATAACTATTTTAATGGTTATGGCTCATGAAAAATTATTGCTTAATTATAATTAAACATGATTCACCACAATGAGATCCACTTGTTCATTCCATTTGTTAATTCATTTTAGAAATAGATATTGAGTTGTAATAATGTGCATTGTGCTATTCTAGTTTCCTTCATGGAATCCAAGTGTCTTAATTGGGCTGCTACTATAAAAAGGGTAATTTTTCAAATTTTTTATATTGTTACCATATACATGTTTACAAACCTAATTGCTATGAGAATTTTGTTGCAATGTGCACTTAAATCTTTTTGTGATTATCCATATTAGAAAGGAGTTCAACCTATCTTAGAGAGTAACATTCAAATTGCAACATTGGTGTCATGTGCACAGTTCTTCTTTAATAAATACTCGTTTATGTTTCTGGGTGCAAAATTAACAAAAACCCAAAGGATAAATGCTTTATAATTATATTTCATTCTGGAAACATATTACCGAAACATCTTAGTCAACAAGAGAAAAGACAAGAATAGCAAGAGGTCTAAACACTGATGTATCTACTTCAGTAGGTGCTTTTGGGTTCCATTCAAAACTCATGACTTCAATTAAGTAGATGTATTAGTCCATTTTTGCATGGCTGTCAAGAGATACCTCAGGCTGAGTAATTTATAAAGAAAAGAGGTTTATTTTGGCTCATGATTCTGCAGACTGTACAGGAAGCACGGTGCTGGCGTCTGCTTCTGGGGAGGCTCAGGAAGTTTTTAATCATGTTGGAAGGCGTAGGGTGAGATGGCATATCACAAGATGAGGGTGGCAGCAGGAGAGGGAGGGGGTGCCAGCCTCCTTTGAACAACCAGATTTCTGGTGTACTCAGAAAGAGAGAACTCACTCATTACGTCCAGGACAGCACTGGTCATTCATGAGGGATCTGCCCCCATGACCCAAATACCTCCCACCAGGCACCACACTGGAGATGGCATTTCAGCATTAGATTTGCAGGGGCAAGCATCGAAGCCATAAAAGTAATGTATACTGAGAAATGGAGAACGCAAGAGAATAACTGGATTGAAACACAGTTGGTTTTTTTTTTTTCATTCTTTATAATGACATCCTGTTATATTTATTTATTTTGAAATAAAATGTGAAAGTAACAAATTTCTCATACATATACAATGACCAAGCATGGGCTTGTGGTTGATAGGCATAAGAATGAAATTTCTGAATCAGTGTGAAACAAAATCTGCGTAAAAATGTAGTACCTATCATGTTCACATGTAACTAATGCCCTACAGGTGCCTTACCTAAATTTTCTCATGTAAACCTTAAAAACAAACCTCTATGATGATTTTTAAATTCCTCTTAAGTAGAAAAAAATCTGAGAATTGGTTATTTGGCACAAGGTAAAATGGTTAGAATATGATAATGTCACAGTTTAAACCCAAGTCAGATAGACTCCCAAGGAATATCCTGAGCTTTCTTGCCAATGAAATAGCACATGGCTTTGACCAGAGTGAGAACTTGTACTAATCCACTGTTGTTTAATTGCAAAATGATGACCTTTCCAGGCTATGTCAATAGATGACAGATTGCTATCAGTTGGTGATTGATAAAATTCACTATAATAATATAATAATACAGTAGTATAATAAAATAATAACTGATTTAGGCAAATATCATCAATGAATGTCAAAATGAGTGTGTGAAAGTTTAAAGAATGACAAAATTTGTATAGTTACAAAGTATCTCAGAATTCTCTTAAACGCAGAGAATAAAATAGTGACATGGCAGCGGAGAAACTGACTCCACATCATTTAACGCAATGATCAAAGTTAACCTTTTGGTAATGAAACTAATTAACAATGTGCACTTCCTAACATGGTCACTGAGAAAAACTTTGTGGTACTCTGGTCAAAAATGTAAAATCCAAATCCAATCATGAGAAAACATCAGATAAATCCCAAACCGAGTGAATAATACACAGAATGTATCTAATACTCTTCTAAAATATCAATATATTAAGTACTCAATGAAATTGATAGCTTCCTGAAAACTAAGACTTAAAGCAAAATGACTTAAAACCATCTTTTTTTTTTTCTCATCAACATTAGGAAAACATGATGTTGCAGGAAGCAATTTTATTTGAGGATCTTCTGTACATCATTTCACTTAAAGTTGCCTTTTCCAAGAACCAATGGATGACGTTAAGTGAGGACTTACTGTACATTGAAATATAAAAAGACTCAGCAACTGTTCTAAATTAAGTGAGGCTAAAGAGATGTGGGAACTGAATAAAACGCATCTGCTTGGACTTACTTTATCTATAAGTTATATATTAGGGACAGTGGGTAAAATCTATTAGGGGTGTATATGAGAAAAATGTATGACCTCAGTGTCCCTTTCCTGAGTTTGATGATTATACTTTGATGTTGTAAGAAAATGCCTTATTTTCAGATAGTATACAGTGAATTATTTAGGGAAGAAGAGGTGTCATATATACAACTTCCTCTTACACATTTCAGAAAAAGAAAATGTACATATGTGCAGAAAGAAGGGGGAATAGGGAGAGCAAATGTAGTAATGTGTTAACATTTGGGGACTCTGAGTGGAAAGTGTTAGGGAATTTTTTTGTGCTATTCTTAAAACTTTTCTGTAAGTCTGAAATTATACAAAACTAAAAAAAAGAGAGGAGCACATATTATAATCAGCCCTATGTTTTCACCCATTAATTCACGAATTCAACCAACCTTGGATCAAAAGTAATTGGGAAAAAATAAAAATAATACAAATAGAAGGCAATAGAGTGTAACAACTATTTACATAGCATTTGTATTGTATTAGGTAGTGTAAGTAACCTAGAGATGGTACGAAGTACAAGGCAGGATGTGTATGTGAGTTCCATGCAAATACTACCACCTTTTGATATAAGAGGCTTAATCATGCTGGATTTGGTATCCGAGAGAGTTCTGAAACCAATCACCTGGGGTTACCATCAGATAACTAGTGTTTAAAGTGCCATTTAATAAAAAAAAAAAAGTGAATGCCCACAATGTGATTAAAAAAATCATTCTTCTTAAAAATCATGCAAGTAAAGTTTAAATAGAACATTTGACTTAAAAACAAAGCTAATTTTATAAATGTAATATACTAAAATGGTTGCAATTACTGGTCATTATTTCTTAAAGCCTTGCTAGTTATTTCTCCTATATTTCTTTCTTTCCATGATATTTTTTGGGGGCGGAGGGAGTAATTAAAAATAAATACTCATGATAATATACCACTAGTAATATTAACAAATCATATTGACTTTTTACTGCAATATACTAAATGTTTTATATGTAGTGTCTCATTTAATTTTCAAATGTCATAAGGATCAGCACTACGACTTCCTTTATCTTACGAAAGAGAAACTGAGTCTTAGAAATGAAGAACTTTCAAGGCCAGCCGTGTAGACTGTCACACGGGGAGAGACTGCAGAGACGCCCACTCCACAGCCCAGGCTTGCGCAGTAGTAAGAACCTCCAGTTATAGAGATCTACTCCGATGCTCTCTCAAATCAGATATACTTCTATTTTCTAAATGTTCAGCTGCATCTCCTGATTCAGCCGTTTCTTAAAACATTAGTGTTACTTTTTTGTTTAAATTTCCACAAGGAAATTTTATTTTAAAATATCACAATTCTTTTAAAATTGTTCTGAAGCTGAAATTCATTTTTTTAATGTAACTATAGCTTATTTTGAGTTATGAAGCCTGTATGGCTCCTATACATCCTTGTTCTAGTTTTTTGTTCTTGTTTTTGATGGTGTCTGGCTCTGTCTCCCAGGACTGGAGTGCAGTGGTATGATCTCAGATCACTACAACCTCTGCCTCCCAGGTTCAAGTGATTCTTCTGCCTCAGCCTCCCGAGTAGCTGGGATTACAGGCACACACCACCGTGCCTGGCTAATTTTTGTATTTTCAGTAGAAGCAGGGTTTCACCACCTTGGCTAGACTGGTCTCGAACTCCTGACCTCAAGTGATCTGCCTGACTCGGCCTCCCCCGTGCTGGAATTACAGGTGTGAGCCACATTGCTTGGTCAGCTCTAGTTTTTTGAAAGCTATTTTCAGATTTCCATATTCTTGCCCTCTTCTCTGTCAAAAAGTCTGTGGTTAATAAGAAACATTGCCAATATATTACCTAGAGAAGTAATCAGAGAGCTGACTAAACTATATTCATTTATCCACTTTTTTCCAATTTTACATCAACTTTTTTGACATAAAATTTTTTTAAAAAAATAAAAGGCAACCATTTAAAAAATGTTGCTGAGTATTTTTTTCTTCTTAAGTATATTTTATTTGCTAGGGCAGTTTTATGTTTATAGAAAAATTACACAGAAATTGAAATGAATTTCAGTATAATTCCACCCCCCCACCACCGAAGTCCAGCTTGTGTCAATTGTCTTCCGCAGTGGACCATGCTTTTGTATCTAGAAAGTCATCACCAGATCCAAGGTCACCTACATTTGCACCTCTGCTATCATCTCAGGGTTGTGTGATCATTTTTGTTTGTTTCACATTTGGTCCTGTAGTGCATTTTAAGTTATTTTACGTGAAAAGCTTAAAGTCTGTGTCGGGATTCGTTTTGTTCCAGCCACATTTATAGAAAAAAACTATCTTTTATCCACTGAATTGCCTTTGCTCTTTTATGAAAGACCAGTTGAGTATATTTGTTTGAGTCTATTTTGGGATCTCTATTCTGTTCATTGATCTATTTGCCTATTACTTGGTGAATACCGCACTTTCTGGATCACTGCAGCTTTGTAGTAAGCTAAGGGTCAGGTGGTTCCTGTCCTCCAGGGTCGCGGTTCAGTACTGTGTGGGTTATGCTTGTTGCTTTGCCTTTCCAAATAAACTTTAGAATCAACTTTTTTTTACATTTTAAAAATAATTTCCTGTGATTTTGACAGAGATTATCAAATCTCTGGGGAAAATCAACATCTTAATAATATTCAGGCATCCAGTCTGTATTGTGGAATATCTCCCTATTTATTTTGATCTTGGATACCTCACACTAGAGTTGTGTCATTTTCTCTTATAAATCTTGTGCATATTTGTTAGATTAATTCCTACGTGTTTAATTTTTGTCTCCTGATTTCAATGTTATTGTCATAGAATTAAAATTTCCAGTTTTTCAGTGCTAGTGTACTGGAAAGCAATTGACTTTTATATATTTGTCCTGTATCTTGCAACAAGCTTGTTATAATTCCTTTTATGCTCCAGGACTTTTTTGATGGATTTAGGGGAATTTTCTTATAGACAATCATATCACATCATATCATCTCTGCAAAAGGAGAGTTTAATTTCTTCTTTCTTTCTCTGTGTAACTTTTGTTTTCTTCTATTGCCTTATTGCATTAGCGAAGACTACCAGGATGATATTTAATTTGAGTGTTCAGAGGGGAAATTCCTGTCTTGGTATCAATCTTAGGCAGAAGATATCAACTTTCCAACCATTAAGTGTGGTATTTGACGTAAGTTTTTTGGAGATGTTCATCGTACTGAAA